GAGAGGTTGAAGAGAAAACTCATCAGATAAAGTATCCAGGAGGTCATCCATCACAGCTGCTGACAACCATTTTGCCACCATTTGTTACAGATGTGAACATGCTTAATTATTTGTAGTGTAATTAGTTCATGAAATGTCAGGAAATGTCAAACGGTGTTCACGGTGCACATGTTGCCACAGAGATCAGGAGAAGAGCAGTGTGTCGAGGGGGAAATTGGAGAGCAATGAGTAGGAGTTGTGGCTGAACAGGGAGTGGAAGTCCATGAAATGTGGGTCAGAATTCCTGGGATGAGGATTTTGCCTTGAACCGAACAGCTTTCAAGGAAATGCGAGGAGTCCTGGAGGAAGGTGGAGGAGAAGAATCATTTCTACTTTGCAAAGAGTTGTGCATTCTGCCCTGTTTGATTTGTGTCTGCATTTGACACTGCATGCCAAATGTTTTTAAAGTTGCATTCCTGGGAGAAGAAAATAATCCACATATTGAGATACATGCTAAGAATGTTCAACTGTCAGCCGTGAGAAGTGAACATTTTGGTCATGCGAGTGTGCATAGGAGACAGAATATACGCATGCACACATGACAGAGACATGCAGGTCTAGTGTGCATTTTTGGGGGTTAGCAATGGATATCTTTCTATTATAACTGTATATAGTATATCTTATATTTTATTATTATATATATGGTATACTTATTATATTGCATTTATACCCCACCTTTTTCCCTTCTTGTGAGGAACCCGTGGTGACTTACATATTTCCATTTTATTCTCTTGACAGCAACCCTGTGAAGTGGGTTAGACTGAGTGGGAGTGACTGGCCCAAAGTGGAGACTAGAATCAGACCTTCCAGGTCCCAGTCCAACACTCTAGCCATCTTTCCCCACTGGTAGATGAGACAGAAAGATGTTTATCTTAAATAGCTAGCTAGCCAGATAAAAAGTTATACTGTATCTGATATGATCTATCTTACCAAATTTCATATAGTATATATTATTTGCTATATCTGGTGTTGGCTTCCCAACAATTTGCTTCTTCCATCAGCAGATTATCATCTTAAGAGAGATTTGCTTCATCACAAAGGCAACTGTACTTACCCTGACCATTTGTCAATCACCAAAAATTAAGACAAAGGGGAGTACGATTTGAATAACATTAAATATGCTAATCTGTTTGCATAGCTATACATTCAAGTATTAGTAGAATTTAAATAAAAATATAGCACATGATATATCATTTTTAAGGCCTGCTTTTAAAGCTGTCAAGGGGACATGTAGCTACTTTCCTCCAAGGGATGAAGTTCCGCAATGACGGGACAGCCAATTAAGGGTCCAGTTTCTTGCATTCACCAATATGATGGGACTCTTGCTAGTCTGGTGAGCAGATCTTTTCACACTCTTCTGGTCTATGATTTCTGGCAAGTTCTCAACAAAAATTGAGAACTTCAGCAAGAGGCTGACTCATTCCTACTCCTTAAGCCACTGTGCCAGTAGCCATCAAGGTCAATGAAACGTAGGCTGTGATCTTACACTGAACCTGAAAGTTGGTCTCTGTGGAGCTTGATGCTGACCACTCTGAGCATCATCAGAGCAGCTGGCTGAGGGTTCGGGCAGGTACCTTTCCCAGCCCTGCCCAGAACAGACAAGGATTGAACCTGGCATGTTTTGCATGCAAAGCACAGCCTCAGGCATGACTTGAACACATATGTGTTGTTGCTACGTGCTATCAACTCATCTCCAACTGAGGGTGACCCAGTGAAAGAAGGTCCTGCAAAATGTCCCATCCTTGACAGCCCTGCTTAGCTGTTCTAAATTCAAGGCTGTGACTTCCTTGATGGAGTCCATCCATCTCTTATCTGGTCTTCCTTTTCTCTTCTGCCTTCGACTTTCTCTAGCATGATTGCCTTCCCTGGGGAGTTTTGCCTTCTCATGCTCTGTCCAAAATAGGAGAGCTTCAGTTTTGCCATTTTTGCTTCTAGGGAAAGCTCTGGCTTGAATTGATCTAGGACCCACCTGTTCCTTCTTCTGTCGGTCTCCTCCTGCACCACGTTTGCAACACATCCCTTTTCTGCCTGTTTGCTCTTTTCACTGTCCAGCTTTCACACCCATACATAGTTATCAGGAACGCCATGACGTGTATGATCTTGAATGAGCACATATTATCAACCATATTTTATTATTCCTAATGGCACTAGTTTGATCTTAGTTTGACAGAGATGCTGGCACAAGGGAAGGATTGTAGACTTGCACACAGATCTTATGCACAGACAATGGCCCCCTTAGCCAGCTCAGAATCTTCCCGAGAAGCTTGCTGAGAGCCAATTGATTGACATGGTAAAAGTTTAGTGGGGGGCAGGCAGAGGGGATTCCAACCTGAGTGACTGACAATCTGCTCTTTAATTCCTGGATGGCTCTCTGCTGGGCAGTGAAGCACGGCGATCTTGAGATGGCAGAGATGGGCGCCAGAATCAGCTTCCATGTCAGTGCTAAATCAGTAAGTGATGACAGATGATTCATTGACTTCTCTCACTTGGTCACCATGGGCGGCGCTTTTGCAGGCATCTCTTGGAGGGCCAGGATACCTGGAGCCTCGTCAAACTGGCCTTCTCAAATGAAAAAGCAAAAACGCATGCCTACACATGTCTACTCTGACGTTAAGCCCTATTTCGTCCCATGTGGCTTGCACCCTGGGGAGTGTGCTATGGTTTGCACCCCATGATCCTTCCCAGATCTATTCTTCCCTGCCACCACCTAATGCCACAAGGCATTTAAGCATGCTGGCAATGCAAGGAAGTCTAAGGAATGTCCTTGCTCCATATCTATTTTTCAATTCAGCTTTTCTTTGAATCAATCAGATACTTGGAAGGAAACAGAAAAGCCTGGTACACTGGCAAATGAGTGCAGAGGAAAAATGGCAAACCGGACCGCCGCACACGTCAAGAAATACATAGCTCGAATCAAAGCACATCACCCATTTACACATTCCAACAGATTTTCACTACCTTGCATCCTCCAGAAATTTCAGTTCCATTTCCCATCAGCCTCAGCCACCATTGCCAGCAGTGCCCATTGCGGCATTGGATACTTGAAAGGAACATTGCATGCTTGAAGAGGCACCTGCTTTGCATGGCGGAAGGGCTGTGTTTGTTGGCTCCATTCTGTGCTTTGTGTCTCCACCCCTTCTCTGCCCCCAGATATTCATACACTCAGCTCCTTCTGTGCACCTTTCTGCCTCTGAGCATCTGTCTCCTGAGGCAACAGCTTACCTTTGCCTCATGACAGGGCTGGTCCAAGACCTAAAAGTGGCATTACGTTTGGGTCCATTTCTGCCCCACTAGGTCAGCTGTACACCCATTTCTTTCCTTTCGGTAGATGCAGCAGCACTCACTCTGGTCTAATGATGAGAACTTGCTCCATTACTGATGCTATGACCGACAGGCAATAGACTGAGATCTGCTGCTCAAGGATTTCCAACTCCTGGTGGTTTCAAAATACAGACAACAAAACCCCCTTTCCCCGCTTATATTAGGCAAAAATTCAGGGGGAGAAACTTTGCTTGTGAAAGTGCCAGTACAGGTTACAAAAACAAATTCCTGGGCTCAGCACATGCTCAGAAGCATTCATCCTGCTGATCCATGTCTACTTTCCTGCTATTTCGCACCTGTCTTGACCTAGGGGAGCTCAGGGTTCCAACGAACAACAGAGAAAGTCCAAGAATCCTCACTTCTACCCACCCTGGTTTAAGGCACTCGCTCCTCCTGCATGGAATCCCTCACCATTTTAGCTCCCATTCCACAAATCTGCCTTCCCACCCCTGAAGGGTCTAGGATGCCCTCTGCAAAGGTTTGCAGCTGATGATGGTGACTGCAACAAAAGCAAACCCGAGCATCCTCCAGTCAGGCGAAGTCTGTGGTTCTTCAAATATGCAAGTTCCGATGACACCCCCCCGCCCCGTCTATTTGTAGTCAGCATTTGTCTCCAACCAACCTTCACTCTATGCAGTCTTCGTATTCAAGGTGAAAACACAGTCCCTTGGTTTATCTTAGAAACAACATCATATACGTAATTTCCCCCCTCCCTCTCGCCAAGCTTTTCATTTTCAAATAGATGGAGGCATCCTATTTAACAGTTTATCCGAGATGCCTAGGGCTGAGGTTGTGTTACAGTCAATAAAACTGGAAAGCTCCAATGCACCTTTTCCCCACCTTTTGTGTGTGAAGTGGCAGCCGTGAATTTAATAGAGGGGGAATGCTGTGATTACTTAATGGCTTCCCAGACAGCCATGGCTTGGAGAATTAAATTTCACATCTGCTTTCATGGTGTTAATCTCTCTACTCACATCCCGCCTGTTATGATGTGCACACAAGAGATAATGTTTAAACTGACTAAAGCAAAGTAAACCAGACAAGTCTGTTATTGGCTTTATAATTACATAATTAACTTTTTGTCTCTAATCGTTATGGAGGTAATGGTGCCGTTAAAATGGGCTTCTGGTGAGCAGAAACTAAATCAAAAATCAATAATCCATAGAACACCATTAGGGCCTGTAACAGCCCTTGTTGGATTCGCTCAAATTTTTGTACCGCAAATGAATTTCATTAGGGCACAGAATGTTATCGCCCAAGCTGACTTTCAAGTGATAGGGAGGGAACAGGACTGTCGTAATCAGCGGCTGGCAGGAAAAACGGACAAAATGTTACCATAAATTACCCCATGCTTGTAATGCAGTTATTGTAGAGTGATTGACCTCTTTGAAATTAATTCTATTTTCCACGAACCCTCCTTTATTTCTAATTTACATTATGATCATATATGTCTGAAAAATGATATCATAAAAAAGATTAATGTACTAATTACTTGTCTCCTTATCTTCCTCCCCTGATGCCTACCCCTTTGGACTGACTCCACTCGGCATGTAAGTACGTCACTTATTTCATCGTGACAGGGGTAATGTATTTGTAAACTGTGCTATAAATATTGGAATCTCATATGCCGTCAGCAAGCATATCTCATATTCAGACACAACACTTTTCTGAGCTGCGGCTCACATGTGTGCGTGTGCTTTCCAAATGAATTTGGAATTGACAAAAATTTCCAAAGCCAAATTACTAGTGTGTCTCTGTGAAATTAGGTTCTTGACCCCTGCTTCTGATGTATGCTTATTTTTCTCCACATTTTCTCCTTCAATTTTATGCATCGCTATTCACTGCTGGGACCACTGACGTGGCTTTCCCAAAAGGGGGTAAGTAATACTTTAATACACCTATGAAATGAGTCTGCCTTTTCCATGAATATTCTCAAAGCAAGCTGTCACCGAAGTCAATTGATATTCCTATGCTTCGTTGCGGAGACGACAGAACTTTTTATGACGGGATAGATCTTGGCAAACTTTATTTTTATCTCCCCTGACATGCCTCACTTCCATGATCCAAAGTTTAGCATATTTTCTATTATTTTTAAGGATGTCCCACAGGCAATTAAATCTTTTGTTTGTTTATTTTTTAAAATAAACCAGATTAAATCACAAAGCTTTAGAGGTCACTGGGGAAGTGGAGAGCTTTAGCTGAAACTTGTCAAAGGTTCGAGAGACTTGAAAGCAAAATGGCTTGGAAATAAGTAGCAAAAGAACAAATGTGGCTCAATTTCTCAGCTTTCACTGACTGGCTTACTAAGGGTAGCATAGCAATAATGGAATCATTCCTCTTTTGTATATGCAAATATCCACTGCACTGATTTATCTGAATTAAGTCTCATCAGGAATTTACAGGGAATTCATTTTCATTTGCTTCAGCTAGCTGCTGCTGATGGAGATTTAATAGGCATGAAGACATCAACATTTAGACAGTCCAATTCAATCTGCCTGCAACCAACTCTGAGAAGAACGAATATCACTACCTACAAACTTTATCAGCAATTTGCCTTCCTTTCTCCCTGCCAACTGTTTCACAGAACCTAACACAGAGAAGCACACAAGCACAGGTGAGTGTATATAGGGTAATGAAAGCTGACTTCCAGCACAGTCATCGTCCATTTAGACTCTATCAATTCAGTGCAAAATTTAAAGTTCATATTATACGATGAAAATCACACCTTCGGTTTTTTATATTAAAGATGCAAGTTGGTTTTCTGAACTGGAACAGACCTGACTTGTCTAAAAATGCAAAGTTTGATGTGAAAGCTTTACCTTGTCCTTAACCTATATATACATATATATTTGAGCTAAAACCAGAGTCATATTTGAGTATAAAGCTTCTTGTACCAGCTGCTCCTTAACCGTGCTTAAAAGCTGTCGTTCTGCTACACAAATGATCCAGGGCATCAATAAAGCCTGTCTCTTGCTTGAGTGAGGTCTGAACTTGAAAAAGCAATATCATTGGCCTATTAATTGGCACTCCAATTTGGGCCTTTTTTAATCCGAAAGAATGACAGTTGGATTGCATGTCCATAATAAGGTTTGCACATAAATGTTGAACATCCACAATAGCTGTTAAGTGGATAGAACTGCACACAGATTCCTGGGGAGGAGGAAGAGGATCGGGACTGTTCATATATAGCATCCCATTTACCAAATAACTACATACCCTTGAATGTTAAATGGTTCTATTTGTACATGGCTCTTTTTTATATACGGCTATGCCCAGTTTGGGAAATCACTGTATTAGGAAATTACTAAATATAACAGCAGTTGCAATGCAGTGGATATAGCCTGGGACATAAACCAGCAAGTCTCCATGAAGTAGAGATGGATGGATCTGTCAGTTCAATTTTCTCTCCATCTCCCCTTTCACTGGTCTTTAGTTAGTAGTTACTTTCGTTACTGGTCTTCTTCCCTTTCCTCATTAGTGTGAGATGATGACATAGATGATGAATTTTAAAGTTTTGCCCGCGAAGCTCCTAAGACACATGTTTTTGCAGGAGACTTTGCCCAATGTACAGTTTTGTAAACAACTTCCCCTAATAGAATGCATTGCATGTAATTTCCCCAAATACATGCCTTTTTGAGCACACCCACAAAAATGGGGAACTTCACAGCAAGGTTTGGAGAAGAGCAGATTTCAATGGCCACCTGAATTCCAGTTCTTGGATAGGTACAAAACTGTAAAATTAAGCAGGGTCCCCTGAAAATGCAAACTGAGATAAATTATTTCCCCAACTGTGCAATTAAGCTCTCTCTTGGTCTCTCATTCACTCTCTGTATGTGTGCATTTGTCCTTGCGATAGACAACAAGAGTGTTTATTTTACAAATACAATGCAAATCAACACAATTCAAAAAGGGAAAGAGAAAAATGGGGGGGGGGATGCCAGTGAGAAGATCGAACAGGTAACCAGTTTAGCAAAAAAAAGTGTGCTGATAAAACATTATCTTAACCCGGCATCTAAAACCAACTGTTAGAGCAAAGAATTCCACACAATAGTTGTTCATTCTCAATATGAAACCAAATTATATTTTGCATCAAGGGATCCTTTGCTTCTCCCTGCTTTCTAGTTTGATTACTCTAAATCTACTGATGTCTTAGTTAATGTTTATCTTTTATTTTCCAGCATTTATAACTGTGTTTGTACTTGGTTATTTCTGTTCACCTGATTTGTAAGAAAGGTCAGATTGTTTTGTCAAAATTACTTTGGTGTATCGCAACAGATCGGTTTCCATGGTTTAGTTAGCAGCATGTGTATGCATGTTTCTAGTGTCCTAGAGACATAGGCCAAGAGCCAAAGAATTAAAGCTTTTAATAAAAAATAATAAAAAAAAATAAATTTATCCACATGCTAGGGGTTTGTTTCAGCGAGGCAGAAACTTTTACCCCACAAGCTGGTTTTGAATGCACATTCACGGTCATTACTGACATTAAGATCAGAGATGATTCACCATACAAGCACTCTCTCTCTTTTATTAGATTTAAATACTACTTTACATCCAATAAATGGCCAAGGCATGAACAATAAAAACAGAAGAAATTAGAATATCAACAATACAGAATTAAAACCCTTAAAATCGCTTGAAGGAAACCAAGTGGGAAGCCTCTTTGGGTTCATGGAACTAGTTTCAGACTGCTTTGTATCCTGTCCTTAATCTCCTATTCTAGCAGATAGAGCAGGGATGGGAAACTTGAAGCTCTACAGATAAGGTTGCACTGCAATTCCCATCTCCCCTGACCACTGATTATACTGTCTGGAGCTGATGGGACTGCAAAGTCCAGCAACCCTTAGAGGGTCATGAGCCAAAGCTTGTTTTAGAGGGTTCCAGACCTGTTTTAGACGTGGCATATACCTGATTTATAAAAAATAAAAACTCTGAGCAAAGATGCCCAGAAAGTTTTTCTGAAGTTACAGCTTAAAAACAAATACCTTAAACTTCCACTCATGTATTCTAGACTGTTTCTCTGTTTTTATCACTCCGAGTTTCAAATGGTGGATGCTGTGTACGGAATCCACCTGTGTTTTGACATGGAACATCCCTGGAACTTCTTCCCAAATTGTTTTCCTCTTTCATTCAACAGAAAGATCCTGTCCATAGGAATTATTTTTCAGTATATTCCTTTATTCCTACATACAAACATGTCTGACTTTACCATTTAAAATACACGACGTAGGTTGTAGAAGCACATACTACACAATAATGAAAAAGAAAAAAAGATCTACAGAAAAAAAAACAATGCAAGGAAGCCATTGCATTTTAAAGAGTAGTCAAATCAAAAGAAGAATTTAGCATGGTGAAAGCATGGTGAAATAAAGTACAATCTAGGATAAAGAGCTCTGTGCATAAGGTATGCCACATTCCGGGTGCCACCACCAAAAAAGCCCTTTCTCAGATATTCACTGATTGCTCTCAAAGTGAAGGAACTGGGTGTATTCCGGGGAGGTGGGAGGTGCTGGGGCTTCAACCCTTTGCTTCCTGTTCTGCTCCAATGGCACCTCACACCCTTGCACAGATCTGTCCTTTGCGGAGCAGAAAAGGTCTAGTATACAAAGGGAACCTTTCTTTTCTCCCAAGCAAATGGAGGGCAGGGATCCAGAGCAGCACTGCCCTGGGGGCCAAAGCACTAGGAGTCCCCCTCTGCTGCGGACTTTGGAAACCCAGGAGTTCCATGGTGCAGTGCAAGGGAGGCCAGATATGGCCCCAGGGGCTGAAGTTCAGTGCCCCCTGCCCAGTTTCCTGAACCTGACCCTCAGGCCTCATTTCCCCGTTTTGTGCCCTCGTGGGGGCACCTTGCTAAAACGTTCTTAGTGTCTAAGCCAACTGCGTAGTTCTGCCTTGAGCACACAGACGTCCCTAACCATTGTTATTCCTAGTAGTAGCAATATCAGCGTTACATTGCATTTGCTACCCACCTGCCTTCCTCTTGCAAGGAGCCCACGTGGCTTACAAGCTTCCCCTCCTCTCCATGTTATTCTCACTACAACAACCCTGTGAGGGAGGTTAGGCCGGGAGTCAGCAACTGGCCCCAATAACCCAGTGGGTGTCGTGTGGACTCAAAGTGGGGTCTCCCAACTCTCAGTCCCACATTCTTGACCACTGCACCATACTGCTGCTCCAATGTGGCTGAATCCATCTCTTCCGCATTATCTAGCCACCGTCTATCTTTATTTTTGCCCTTTTAAGCAGAAGCACCTTATCCCCATTGATAAAACAGCACACAGTGCCTGCAGCTTCTAGGGCGATTAAAACCAACCAATGCTGCCCCCTCTAAGTTGAGTTGTTTGATACGGCTATGTGGATTCAAATGAGCGGATGGCTAGTTTTAATTAACAGCCTCTTTTCCATGAGTCAAATTTCCCTTTCATATACCTCCAAGCAGAGCATATTTGTACAGAACACATTTTTATTTCCATGAATGGAGACACCTTATGGCCACTGTTTTTCCTTCTCCCAACACTACGGAAGACTGAAACTCCAATTAGACACCGATATGTGAAGATTTATCACCACAGCGAGGAGAAGGCAAATACTGGTACAGCTCTCAGTGCAAATGTTCAGCCTCTCTCATTTTCCCAGCATGCACGGAAAAATTGCACAATGTTTTCTTTGCAATTAGAAAAAGGGTTATTTTTGCATTGGTACTTGTGGCTTCCCATTTAGCTTAACATCAGAATGGTTGAGAGCGGTTCATCCGCACAAGCCTAGCAATGGGCTCAGAATTGTGTTCTAGGCTTGCTGACACGGTGTGCTTTATTTCATAATAGGCAGTGGTTGTTCAACCTGATCTTGTGGCCACTGTCAGCTTTTTCATAATTTTCCTATTCTAATTTTGAAGCTGTGGATGCAGAAAATGCTTTACATTTTCTGCTACTCAGCACTGGGAAAATTGAAAAGGGAGTGTGGAGGGGAGAAGAAGAGAAAAAACAAAAGAAAAATAGTGATGAGGTTTCAGAAAAGCATAATTTTACTCTGCTGTAATGAGAATTTTATTTGGTGTCAATGGTTGGTTTTTTATGGTGCCTGTATTCTGCTCCTGATCTGCCAATTGACAGTTTTACAACAAAGGATGAAAAGAAAAAGTTGTGATCTCTCCATTCAAAAGGGCCTCAAACTTTACTTCCCCACCCAGAATGTAACCTCCATCCTTTTCTGCCATCAAATAATCAAGTCATCATTTTCTAATTACCTCTTCCTCCAAGAATGCAATTTGGGTGGGTGGGTTGCTCGGGGGAGGGCTAGAAGAAGTGAACCCCCCTCCCAATATGTAAATGGCAGTGGATTTCCTAGACGGTATCCTTTCAATTAAATTCCAGCAGTGCTATCAGATTCCAACAGCTCTTTTGCCACACTGAGATAATTTCTGGAGGCAAGACACCTGGCTAAGCTAGAGCGGTGATTAATTTTATGAGTTTAGGGTGCAGTCATCACTCACAAAGAGGCTTAGGGTTTGGATGATGGATGATGGGTAAAGTGCAGCCTGATAGAACATGGCCCATGAATCTGTTCTACATCATCAGTTCCTTTGATCACTGGCAGAAGTTCAGAGATACTTCTTCGCAT